TGGTGACACACGCGCTGGTGACTTCCCGCCTTGACTTCTGTAACGCGCTTTACGTGGGGCTTCCCTTGAAGACGGTCCAGATACTTCAATTAGTTCAAAATAGAGCTGCCAGGTTGCTGACGGGGACGGGGCATTATGTTCACATGACTCCAGTCCTCCGTCAGCTTCACTGGCTTCCCATTGAAGTCCGGGCACAATTCAAGATGTTGGTTATGACCTATAAAGCCCTGAACGGCTTGGGTCCTGGTTACCTGAAGGAGCGCTTACATCCATATATGCCCGCCCGCCCGCCCCTTGAGATCTGCAGGAGAGGCCCTTCTCCGGGAACCCTCCATGAAAGAAATTAGGAGGGTGGGTACTTGGAGGAGGGCTTTCTCTGTGGTGGCACCCAATCTATGGAATGCGCTCCCCAGAGAGATCCACTTGGTGCTGTTGTTATTTGTTTTTCGGCGCCAGATGAAGACCTTTTTATTTAAACGTCATTTTAATTGTTAACAATTTGCTTATTTATCTGGCCAGGGCGACTTCTTTTATTTTTTATATTTTTTATTTATTTTACATTGTTAATTTTAATTTTATATTGTTATTTTTGTATTTTATTGTATTTTATTGTGTTGTAAGCTGCCCCAAGACTTCAGCAAGGGCGGGATAGAAATGTTCAAATAAATAAATAAATAAATAAAGTAAGTAAGTAAGTAAGTAAGTAAGTAAGTAAGTAAGTAAGTATTGCTGTGAGAATTGGTCTATAAGGAAGGCTGAGCACTGAGGAATTGAAGTCTCTGAATTGCGATGCTGGAGAAGATTCCTGCGAGTCTCTTGGACCACAAGGTGATCAAACCGGTCAGTCCTAGAGGAGATCAACCCTGACTGCTCTCTAGAAGGCCAGATCCTGAAGATGAACCTCAAATACTTTGGCCACCAGAGGAGAAGGAAGGACTCCCTGGAGAAGAGCCTGGTGCTGGGAACAATTGATGGCAAAAGGAGAAGGGGACGGCAGAGGATGAGGTGGCTGGGTGGGGTCACTGGGGCAGTGGGTGTGGCCATCTCAGAGAAATAAAACATCCCATTGTTGAACTGCAACTTCTCAGAATCTGTGCAGGCCAGAGGCAAGTTGGAATCCATTTTCCCAATAAGAGATGGCAGTCCAGGATGGACAGACAAATGGTCAAGGAAGACCCAGGTGGAAGAAACACGTTCAAAGCCCGATCACCTCCAGGCGAGAGTCATACAAGAGCTAGCGCAAGAACTCTCAGAAGCACTGGCTATTATCTTTGATCACTCCTGGAAAACAGGAGAAGCGCCAGATGACTGGAGAAGGGCTCATGTTGCCCCTGTCTTCAAAAAGGGGAAAAGATGAACCTGGGAACTATAGACCAGTTAGTTTGACATCAGTTCCTGGAAAAATTCTGTAGCAAATTCTTTAAAAATCCATCTGCAAGCATCTTGAAGGAAATATAGTGATTAATAGCAGCCAGCATAGGCTTATCAAACAGAAATCCTCTCAGACTAATTTAATCTGAAATTTCAACTGGGTATCCTCCCCAGTGGACAAACAGGACATTGTGGAAAGAATCTACCTAGACTTTAGCAAAGCATTTGACATAGCACCACACAACATCCTGCTAAGCAAATTAGCAGAAACTGGACTAGATGGAAACACCAGGAGATGGATCGAGCATTGGCTGCTCAATTGGACACAAAGCTTGCTCCTCAATGGCACCTCCTGAAATTGGATGGAGGCAACAGGAGGGGTGCCATGGGGTTCTCTCCTGGACCCATTGCTCTTCAACATCTGCATTAAAGATTTAGATGAGGAAGTACAAGGAAAGATAATCAAATCTGCAGATGATACAAAACTGGGTAGAATAGCAAACGTCCAAAGACAGAATGAAGATCCAGGGCGATCTTGATAAACTTGACAAACTTGAACACTGGGCTGAAGGCAACAGAATGAGATTCAATAAGGACAAGTGCCAAGTTCTTCGCCTAGGAAAAAGAAACCAAAGGCATCAATACAAGATGGGGAACACATGGCTCAACAGAACTGACAAAGAAAATGATCTTGGAGTAATTGTGGACAACAGGCTAAACATGAGCCAACAATGTGATGCAGCCACCAAAGGGGCAAGTGCTATTTTGGGATGCATTAACCGAAGTATTACTTCCAGATCACGAGAAGGAGTAGTTGCCCTCACTAGTCAGACCTCACCTGGAATACTGTGTCCAGTTCTGGGCACCAAGATCTAAGAAAGATGCAGGTAAATTAGAAAGGGTCCAGCGGAGGGCAACAAAAATGATCCAGGGCTTGGAAACACTGCCCTGTGAGGAGAGGCTGAGGGAACTGGGCAAGTTCAGCCTTGGGAAGAGAAGACTGAGGGGAGACAAGCTTCCTCTCCCTAAGTCCCTCAAAGGCTGTCACAAAGAGGGAGGTCAAGATCTCTTCTTGCTAATGCCAGAGTGCAGGATGCAGAATAATCAACTCAAGTTGTGGCAACCCAGGTTCAGGCTGGTTCAGGTTCAGGAGGGCAACAAAAACGATGCAGAGTTTGGAAATACTGCCCTGTGAGGAGAGGCTGAGAGAACTGGGCATGTTCAGCCTTGAGAAGGCTGGGGGGCACCTGATACCCCTCTGTAAGTCCCTCAAAGGCTGTCGCAAAGAGGAAGATCAAGATCTCTTCTTGCTGATGCCAGAGTGTAGGACACGGAAGAATCTAGTCAAGTTGCTACAATCCAGATTTAGGCTGGACATCAGGAAAAGCTTCCTCACTGTCAGGGGAATACAAGAGTGGGACCAGCTGCCTGGAGAGGTGAGGGCTTTCCCACACTAGAGCCATTCAAAAGGAAACTGGGCAGTCCTCCGAATGGGATAGTGTAAACTGGTGTCCTGCAACAGCAAGGGGATGGACTTGATGGCCTCTGTGACCCCTTCCAACTCTACTATTCTATGATTCCATGTTCCCCTGTGTGTGTGAACATACAAGAACAATGCACATGCTGTGTACCTCGACAATTGAATTAAGCTGAATGAGAAGCAATGAGTCTGTTTCTTATGAGCCTGGGAATGTGTTGTCTTTATTTTATGATGTAATGGTATTGTTAATATCATTAACGTTTCTCCACTCGCTTGGTTGTCCAAAGGCCATCAAGGTGATATGAAATAACTGGAACCAAACCCAGCAAAAATCACAGAAGCGTGGACATCCTGGGGTGTGAAGTCAAATGGGCCCTAGGAAGTCTTAGCAACAACAAAGCTAGTGGAGGTGACAGTATTCCAACTGAGCTATTCAAAATCCTAAAAGGCGATGCAGTTAAAGTGCTACACTCAATATGCCAGCCAACTTGGAAAACTCAACAGTAGCCACAGGATTAGAAAAGGTCAGTTTACATTCCTATTCCAAAAAAGGGCAATGCTAAAGAATGTTCAAACTACCACACCACTGCACTCATTTCACATGCTAGCAAAGTGATGCTCAAAACCCTACAAGCTGGGCCCCAGCAGTTTGTGGACCGAGAACTTCCAGGAGTACAGGCAGGGTTCCGAAGAGGCAGAGCAACTAGAAATCAAGTTGCCAACATACGCTGGATCATGGAGAAACCTAGGGGTTCCAGAAAAACATCGACTTCTGCTTCATAGACTATGCTAAAGACTTTGATTTTGGGGATCACAAAGTGGGGCAAGTTCTTTAAAAGATGATACATCATTTTGTCTCTTGAGAAACCTCTATGTGGGCCAAGCACTGAGAACTGGAATGGAATGACTGATTGGTTCAAAACTGGGAAAGGAGTTCGGCAAGGCTGTATATTAGCCCCCTGCCTACTTAACTTATATATAGAGCACATCACGTGGAAGGCCAGGCCAGATGGATCTCAAGTGGAAATTAAGATTACTGAGAGAAATGTCCACAACCTCGTGTGCCCTGAAATTACATGACGAAGCCACTCCAGTGGCAGAGATTGAAGAGGAAACTAATGAGCATCGTGATGCGGACAGGAGAGGAGAGCGCAACAGTTGGTCTGAATTTCAACATAAAATAAAACCTAGGATCATGGCATCTGGTCATATCACTTCCTGGAAAATGGCAGGTGAAGAAATGGAGGGAGAGACAGATTTTAGTTTCTTGGGCTCCAAGATACCTGCAGATGGTGACTGCAGCTAAGAAATTAAAAGACACTTGCTCCTTGGGAGGAAAGCTATGGCAAATCTAGACAGCACATTAAAAAGCGGAGATATCACCCTGCCAACAAAAGTGCATATAGTCAAGGCTATGGTTTTCCCAGTTGCAATGTATGGCTGTGAAAGCTGGACCATAAGGAAGGCTGAGCGCCAAAGGATTGAGGCCTTTGGATTGTGGTGCTGGAGGAGACTCCTGCGAGTCCCTTGGACTGCAAGGCGATCAAACCGGTCAGTCCTAGAGGAGATCAACCCTGACTGCTCTTCAGAAGGCCAGATACTGAGACGGAAGCTCAGATACTGTGGCCCCCTAATGAAAAGGAAGGACTCCCTGGAGAAGACCTTCATGCTGGGAACAATGGAAGGCAAAAGGAGAAGGGGACGGCAGAGGATGAGGTGGCTGGATGGGGTCACTGGGGTGGTGGGTGTGAGCTTGGGTGGACTCCGGGGATGGTGGAGGACAGGAGAGCCGGGAGGAATGTTGTCCATGGGTCATGATGGGTCCAGCATGAAGTTCGACTAACAACAACAAGCCACGCGTTGGTCTGTGAAAACACTGCAGTGTTGTAAATTCATTGAAACCTATAACTATCATGTTCTTCACTAGTATTTCCCTGCCCAGTTGTGCCAAGCTTTTCCCGGATGGGATGAGGAGGAAAGGCCACTCCTTCCATATGCTCCACTCCGGGCCGTCTTCCACCAGATCTAACTGTGCTCCCTGTGCTTTCCCTCCCAGCCACACTGCCCGGGCTCGGCAGCTGCAGCCCCATGACCACAGGGGTGTTCCCAGCCCTCCTCCGAGTCTGCATGACGCTGTTCCGGGACTTACTGCGTGCGGAGCGTGAAGGCCGCACTGGTGATCGAGGTGGGCAGGTTCAGCCCCTTCGTGATCTCCCGCCACAGCTTCTTGTTAATCACCTCCACCAGGCCGCCTTTCTCCGTGACCAGGATGTACAACATGTAGAGGTCCAGCACTTGCTTGGCCATGATGGGGATTCGGTTTACCGGAGTCCCTGCAAGCAGAGAGAGAGCAAAAGGTTGGACAGAAACATCCGGGGATCCGCATGGGACTGACGAGGCAACTCACATGCACATGCGAAAACTCTGGCAGGGAGAAGCTACATCTCAAGGTCCATCTGCCACTTCAAGGGACTAAATGATCATCAACAGAGCGAAGAGATGACAGGCAGTGCAAAGAGGTCTAGTAAAAGCCCTTCTTAGCCTGCATTAAATACCGTGTTTCCCTGAAAATAAGACCAGGTCTTGTATTAGTTTTTGCTCCAAAAGATGCACTAGGGCTTATTTTCAGGTGATGTCTTATTTTTTCATGTACAACAATCTACATTTATTCATGTACAAAAATCTACATTTATGCAAATACAGTCATGACATCTTCTTCTGTAACACTGTCATAGCTCTCCAGGCCCTGAATTGTGTTGCAACAGACATACTAAATGCATCTGTCTGGCTGACGATCTTAACCGGGGCTTATTTTAGGGGTAGGGCTTATATTATGAATCGTGCCAGGGCTTGGGCAGCAGACCTGAACGTTGCTACAGACACTCATTCTACTCTGGGTTTACATTGTCTTTTAAAACTTTTGAATGTTTTTAGCTGTATCTTATGATTTTAACTGTTGTGGCCTCCCCAAGGGGGGCTTTCACTCCTGGTCAGGGCAGAAACGCACTTAATTAATTAATTAATTAATTTAGCGCTTCAGAAATACAATTTATTTATTTAGAGCTTTTGTATGCCGTCCTTTATATAAATATCTGAGGACAATTCACACATAAATAAAAGAAGAACATTTATTTATTGAAAGCTTTTCTAACCTGTCCGCCCCTAGCATCTCGGGACGGCTTTTTACTTTATGTAATGAGTTATCCTTTTCCTACAACAAAAGGGTATTTATTCCCAAGTCCAGTCGCATGAGGACAAAAGCAGAAAACTCCCATTGTATTTCAAGGCGTGCAAGCAGTACCAGGATCAGGGGTTAACAAAATGGAAACTTTACATGTCCAGAGTTTGTGAGTGCTTGCTTGCCTGTGCTGCCTTTGGAAAAGCATTTCGGTTTTCGTTTTTTCACTCTCTAAAGACAGTAATGGAAAAGCAGCTTCAATGCAAGGAACTGCAGGAGGGCAAGGTGAGAGAGAAATGGCAGTCGTGCAATTTACAGCTGAAGGAATGCAGCCAGGTATCTAAAGACAATGTGGTCCAGGGTCTAAACCAGGGGTCCTCAAACTTATCAAATGGGGCCAGTTCACTGTCCCTCAGACTGTTGAGGGGGCGGACTATCGTTTGAAAAAAATATGAATGAATTCCTATGCACACAGCACATATCTTCTTTCCAGTGCAAAAAAAAAAAAAAAACCCAGGAAAAAACAATACAGTATTTAAAATGAAGAACAATTTCAATCAACACAAACTTTTTAGTATTTCAATGGGAAGCATGGGCCTGCTTTTGGCTAATGAGATGGTCAATGTCCGGTTCCATATTCGTGCCTCTCTTCTGTTTTCTTGCTCCTCTCTTCTGTATTCAGGGACAACGCATGCGTGCAACACGGGGAAGAGCCGGCGCGTGTGCAATTCAGGCTGGCAAGGCCGGCGCAGCAGCAGGAGTGTGCCAGAGCTAGCAGAGAGAGTCGCCGCACGTGCAATTGAACAGAGATGTCACAAATTGCCACGGTCGTCGGCTCTCCACTAGTCTCCGGAAGACTTTCAGAGAACGCCTGTGCCGGCTCAGAGCTTTCAGACTCATTCGGAGATCATTTTCTCCAAACAAGTCCGAAAGCTCTGAGGCGGGCCGGGTAAATGACCTCGGTGGACTGTATGTGGCCCTCGGGCCATAGTTTTAGGACCCCTAAAAGGACCCCTAACAATACCAAACAGATCCTGTTGCTTATGGGCAGAGGGAAAACTGATGGGAATGTGAATTCAGGAACAGCCAGCTGCCAATAATCCCAAGCTAATCTCAGTATGAATAAATGTGTCTACCAATTTATCTAAAGATTTTGGCCAGAGTCTGCCAAGCAACTCCTTGGGACATTTGATGCAGGTTGGGCTATTTTAAAAAGGGTATTTCAAAACTACCTCCTCTGGTTGTCCATTCCTGTTTCCTCTAGTTATAGGAATCCCCCAAAAGAGAGGGAGAACAAGGCTCACCATTACAGTATTATGGTTGTAGAGCGTCTGCACTGAAAAGTTTGCCCTGAAATGTTCACAATGTGTTTAGGGCGGCAGCTTTTGCTTTGTCTGCTCTTACTAAAGAATAGTAATCTGAGTTCAGAAAAAAACGGAAGGGAAATTCCACAGACGATGCAGTTGGCTTGGTGATTAATTCTGGGTGTCACGCAGAAGCCCTGCAAGTCATCTGATTCAACCCTTCCTCTGGCCTCGCCTTCCTCACACACTTCGGAGTGATCATGAGCTCCAGAAACGTGATGGCCTTAAAATGAAAGCAGATCTTCTTGGGGAAAATGGATGGAGTAAAACTTCTGGGGATGGAGTAGCACTCTGTTGCAATGGACGGATAATAACGGGACGGGGTCTGGACTGCAAAATGCTTTGGACTCCTTTGAGGGTGAGGTCTCCTTTTCATAACTTGCCCTGGAGATCAGTGGACCTGGAACCTTTCCAGATGACTTTTTCCCACTGTTTTGACCTGGTAAGACACCTGTTGATATTCCTGGAATCAGCAGATGACCTGGGCTGTCTATAAGAGGACTCTCATGTTCTCAACCAAGTGGGACATGAGTGTCTGCAAGCTTCTTTCATCCTGAAGAGCAAGCTGAGCTTCAAGAATATTTCTGGAAGTGAAGTCTTAGGAGATTTCAGTCTTTGAGAATAGGAAATGGCCATATGGTCTGCTGTCAAAAGAAAGGCATGGAGCCAAGGGCTAGGGAATTTCAAAAGACCAGATAGGGGACTCCAAGCATGCCATTCTTGGTCTCCAGGCCCAAGGATCTACACTCCTGCTAAAGAGGCACCTTGGCTTCCTGGAATTCTAATTAATTATTCTAAAAATTATTCTAATTTTATATTATGTATGCCATCCTGAGGGCTTGTCAGAAGGACGGGATACAATTGTTTGTAATAAATAAATTCTGAGTCATGAATGAAAGAGCAGCCAAGCAATGGCTAGAACCCAGATGTAGCTGAAAGCATCTAAACAGACATGGCTGGACACAGATTAAGGCGATCTTGAGGCCCACTCTGTGACCATGACGGGAACTAGAAAAAGTGTATTTCTCCACCATCACCCCTGTGGCCCAAGGTCCATCCACTTTCTCGAGCAGGTCTCCTGTGGAAGCAAGTCCAGGAGGTCAGCATGTCGCTCCCTTGAAGGCCTCTGAAATTGCAACAGCATTGGAGAGGGATGGAGCCCAGCCCAGAGGGATGGACAGACCAGGGAATGAGTGTGGGTTTAAGCGGGGCTGGGAGAGAGAAAAGCGAAAGCTCTCCAAACAGGCAAACCTGCTTTGAATGAGGAAGAACAGCAAAACAAAGGACATTCCTTCACTTCCCCAACCCTGCCCCTTTCCCCTCTTGCAGATATCGCTCCTTATTGATTTACGGCTTCCTTAAAACCGAAAGGAAACACAAGTGCGGAACCAACCCGATTATAAGTGGTGCTGTTCTACCAAGGTTGGTGTAGCCCCACCTCATGGGTTCAAAACCTTATCTGGACTGGAGAGGTAGCCCCTCTGACCCTAGCAGGAGTGCTTCCTTTGGGCCTCAGTTGAACCATCTGTGAAATGGAGCTGCTCCACACCCACACACATTATTGCTGGGGGACAGCTGAGCAGGTAGCAGGTGGAACCTGCACTACACCATTCTCACATCTGCACAGAGCAATTATCCTAAAGAAACCCACCAAGGGAAGCTAGAGTTTGGGGTGCGGGGGGGTGGAAGAGGAGGCAACTCAGTCCTACTGTTCACCCCAACTGTTTTCTTCAAAATGCCCCCAGGTTTTAATTTGGCGCTGTTGCTGCATTGTCGGTAGGCAAAATTGCAGGTCAACACCACTCAACTTGCTTGCTTGCAGGTCAGGTAGGAACAAGCAATTTTCATGCAGAGAGCTGAACCGAATCCCTGGTGTATTCCGCCCGTGCCTAGCGTCCCGTCAGCCTTAGAAACACAGAGAAAGGCAGAACGCCAAACTGAAGCTCACAGTGCTGGACTGGCACAGTATCTCGGCAGGCTGGCAAAGCAATGTTTATTGCTGGGTTTCAGCAAATTCTGAAAGCAGAGGCCAGCTGTGGAAGGCACTTACTGACTACAACACATAACGCCACCAATTCCCCAACATATTTTGGGAAGCCCGTTCTGAAATATTTTTAAGTGGGTGCAAGGCTCATATAATGAACATACTGATTATTTATTTGATTTTTATCCCCCTTTTCCCTACAATGAAATCAGAGCAGCTTGCAACATTCTCCTCATTCTTATCCCCACAACAACCCTGTGAGGTACGCTGGACTGAGAGCCTGTGGATGGCCCGAAGTCTGCCAGTGGGTTCCATGGCCGAGCAGGGATTAGAACCTGGATCACCTGAGTCCCAGCCCCATGCTCTAACCACTAGGCATCCCTGGCTCTAGTCCTGCAAAAGACTGAAGACAAAATGGCCTCTAGGAAACAAGGTGCAAGGCTGGGCGTCATCTCCTCCTCCAGTTCAAGGCATGTTTTTCATTTCAGGAGCTGGACTGGGAAGCGGGAAAAAGAATCTCTGATTTTTAGACATTCCCCGCCAATCTTCTTGCTCTTCAGTGACTCAGAAACCCTCTGAGCTGTTGTGAGCCATTTCCCCTTCTTTCCATGCGGTTTAACTGCATGGAGGCCCGACTCCTCCGGAGATCCCAACTGCCTAGCTCTGCAGCCATTTCCTGCTTTGAAAACACTTTGCCCCTTCTGCAGGACTCTTCGCCCCCCCCCCCACACACACACACCAAGCCCTGGGGCATCCTCCCTCTTTCCTTCCCTTTCCAAAGAGGACTAAAGCTTGCACAAGAAAAGAGAAAAAGCTGGCCACGCCAGCATTGTTCACTCAAGTGGCTGGGGACTGGGTGGCGGATCCCCATGAGGGTATTAAAACTGCCGGTGCATCCTGCAATTTCCTTTCCCTGCCACCCCCTCGGCCACAGGAGGAGAGTTCGTCTGCCATGCAGGAAGGCCGCCAAAGCTTTCCCCGCCCGCCCACCCAAATCGGATTCCTTGACTTAACGCAAATCTCTCCCCTCTTCACCTCTGTAAACAGGCAGAGTCTGTCAGCTGGCATCACCTCAAGGCATTTGTTGCCCTCGATGCCTTCGTTCCCCCCACATCTTGGGGGTGGGAGGCAACCAGACAAGCCAGAAACCTACTGGTGCCCATGCAGGCACCTCTCCTTTGACTTCAGGCCTTGCTCTGGGAAGCAAAAAGTCTAAGGGCACGAAACATCTTCTCTTCCTGGTCCCAGCGACCCAATTTTGCTAACTGGAATAGATCAACCACCTGAGCATATCTGACTAAAACCAAGAATGAGTAAGGATGCACCAATTAACTGCTGAGATGCTGTTCCATCTCGAAGTCTGTTCCAAACTGCAGAGCTCAGTGCTTCTTTAAAGACTGTCTTGACAGACTGACGGGACAAGCATAGGAAGGGGGCTTACCTCGCTTCTGCATAAAACTGAAAAGGTCATCAAGGAATTCTTTTCTCTTCGGGTCCCCGTCAAGTTCATAGAGCTGCAGGAAGAGAAGAGAGCAAGCAAGAAATTTTAGGAAATGACAACAGCAAAACCAAACCGGCACTGATTTAACATGGGCCAAACACCACAGCATTTGCTTCAGGGGAAGGGGCCAGACGCAGCATTGCCAAATTCGATGGGTAGCTTGTAGTGCGCCCCCCCCCACACACACACACACATTTCCTTGGAATTGTGAGGAGCAAGTGAAGAGCTGTGGCAGTGCTAAGTAGCCCTTAACTAATCTTTAGCAGCCTTTTTAGTGGCATCAAACAAATGCCTTAAGATCGCAAGGCTTCTGTCTGGAAAAGAGCCAAAGCAAGTTTCTAGACTTAACTGCATGCATGTGTGTGCACAAGAGCAAAGAGATTTTCGCGGGAGCTCAGCTGCCCTGGTAGAGAATGTGAAACACCCTAACCCTGGCCTGGGTACAAGCCCTTTTAAGAATGAAGAGGCATGGTTTCTATCCCTCAAGCCTAACGAGACTTCCCTGTGGCTACTGAAACCAAGAGGTCAGCAGCTCGGCACAGGGAAAGAACTCTCCTGAACGCCCTCGAGGCCCTCCGGCACTTTCCTCGCTGGCCACACTGAAACAAAAAGCTACTCTTTCAAGGGAGTGCGCAAGCGGAGCGAAACCATGGCTGTATTTCTCCATCATTCCGTGTTTCTAAAACCATTCGTCGCTGCTTGTGCAATGCGCGTTCTTGCAGGGAAGGCACAGCTAAGAATCTGTGACTGGCCTGAAGTCACCCAGTGGGTTTAGCTGCAGTACAACAACCCTGCAAGGTAGGCTCAACCGAGACTGTTACACGTCTGCTGTCTCCCAGTGGGCTCCATGGCTGAGCGGAGGCTGGAACACAGATCTCCTGGGTACCCGGCCTGCACTCTTAACTGCTACACTGCACAGGTTCTCCTCCTCTTCACCTTATCCCCACAACAACCCTGCAAGGTAGGCTCAGCTGAGAGTCTGTGACAGGACTGAAATCCCCCTGTGGGCTCCCTGGTTGAGCCGGGACTGGAACATGGATCTCCTGAGTCCCCAGCCTGTACTCTTAACCACTACACCACTCTGGCTCTTCCCCTCCCACTTTTTCTGCACTACATCAACCCTGCAAGGTAGGACCAGCTGAACGTATCTTATGGACCTGAAGTCCCCCAGTGGGCCCCATGGCTGAGCCTATGCCTGTGATCTTAACCGCTACGCTGCACTGGCTCTCTTTCTCTCCATTTAATCTACACAACAACCCTGCCAGGCGGGCCCAGCTGAGGGCCTGAGACTGGCCTGCAGACACCTGGAGGGGTCCATGAATGAGCGTGGCTCCCCCCCCCCCGCCTCTTGGAAACCCGAAGGGATGGAAGGGGAAAACTGCAGAGGATGGGTAGGGGGTTTCCTATATATGCATGTGGTAGGCAATGTGGTTGGGGAAAATGATTAGTATGGGGTATGTACAATTGTGTTGTTAAGTTTTTGTTGGAGTGTTTATTTAGTCACATATGGAGACCAAAAAGAGTATTTGATGTATCAAAAAAATTGGAAAAACATTGACGATAATGTTACGAAATTAAAACGGCTTGGGAGAAAAATATAAATGAGCTAGAACTGGAAAATCTATTCATAATGAGAAAGCAGGTGGTATATTTTTACAAGAAACACTTCAAAAGAAAGATGAAGTGAACGTATTAAAACTATAATGAGCAGATGTATATCATAAAGCATATGGGATAGCAAAAAATGTGAATTTAAAATAAAAGTTATAATAAGTGATCATACGGGGAGATTTCTTATAATACAAGGTTTGATATATGGACAAGAGGTCACTTTTGCTAATTTATATGCACGTAATACAAATCGAAGATAGTTTTATAATAAGGTGTATAAAGAAATAGATGATATAAAAAGAGGATATATGATAACAGTGGGTGATTATAATATGGTTATAGATAAAGAAAAAGCCAAATCCAACTTATCAAGTGTAGATATAAAATATAACAACACAGATTTAAGTAGATTTATCAACAGAAATAGATTAAAAGATGCTTGGAGCGAATTACATGGTAAACAGAATTATTCAAAGAGGCATAAAAATTTTACAAGAATACATTATATATGTGTAACACCAGAAATATTGTCTAAAATAGTAAACGCACATATAGAAGTAATTAAAATATCAGCCAATGCAATGAAAACAAAATGGAAATAAAATGAGATTATAGACAGATGGGTGGAGAATAGATTTAAGGTTTTTTAAAAATGAGAAGATCTTAGAAAAAATGGAAAAAGAACTAAAAGAAATATGGGAAATAAATGAAAAAGGAGGAAGTAATATAAGTGTCATATGGGATACAATGAAAGCAGTGGTGAGAGGGTTAGAAATAAAATATTCATACAATATAAAAACAAAAAGAGCAACATATAGTAAGGTTAGGAGAGGAAATTAAAGAACTAGAGAAAAAGTATATAGAAAGCAGAGAAAACAAATTTACATTAGAATTAACAGCTAAAAGAAAAGAGTTACAAAATGCTGAAATAGAACAAGTTCAAAGAAATCTAATTTATTTGAAAAGAGAGTTTTATGAAAGTAATAATAAAAATTCTAAAATGCTGGCCAGAGTCACACAAGTCAAAAAGGCAAAAAGCTTAACTGGAGTGATAAAGAACGAAAAAGGGGAAAGATGTAACATGGTGAATGAGAAACTTGTAATCTTTCAAAGGTTTTTCAAAAAGTTATATATGGGAAGTGAAATAGATTTGAAAGGAAGTCAGATATATATAGAAAATGAATTAAAATGTAAAATTCGAGAAGGGCATAAAGAAATTATGGTAACTCAAATAGAAGAGATATTGGAAGTGATTATTAAATTGAAAATAGTTAAAGCACTAGGATCTGAAGGATGGGGTGTTGAATTTTATAAAAATTTCAAAAAATCACTAGTCCCTAAGATAAAAATGATGTTTAATAAAATAATGGAAGGGGAAACAATTCCAAGTTCTTGGAAACAATCCATGATAGTATTGAAAGCAAAACCTAATAAAGACCTTACAAACCCTGAAGCTTATACACCGATATCTCTTATTAATCAAGATGCTAAGATTTTTATAGCAATATTGGTAAATAATTGAATACATTTATAGATAAATATATAAGGAATGATCAATGTGGGTTTATAAGAGGTCAACAAATGTCAGTTGTAGTAAGGAGAGTATTACATATTAACAATTACATAGAGAAGCAAAATTTAAAGGCAAGTATATTAGCATTAGATATATTTAAAGCTTTCCATTGTGTGGAATGGCCAACAATGAACATTTTAACAGAAAAGAGGGGATTTGGAACAACATTTAAGAAAGTAATAAATCAATTATATTAAGAAAATCGGCAAAAAGAATTGTAAACTATAGTATTACAGAAATAATAACCTTAAGCCGAGGAATGACAAAAGGTTTGCCCTTTTCCCCAATATTATATGCCTTAATGATGAAAGTACTGGCAAATGCAATTAGAAATGATATAGAGATAGTAGGAATTGCACTATGTCAGTAAATTTAATTTAATTTATTTGCAGATGATACACTGTTGACATTTCCAGATCCAATAAACACTATAGAGAGAATATATTCACATTTAAAGGTATTTGGAAAATATAGCGGGTTGCAAGTAAATTGGGAAAAATCAGAAATGATATTGTATAATCATAGTAGTGAAAAACTGGATATATTAAAAGTATAAATTAAAAATAGTAGATAGTATTAGATACTTAGGAAATGACATTCCAAAAAATAGTCAAGAACTAAAGAAGAAAGATTATGAAAAGTTAAAGAAGGATATAAAAGATAAAATAGGAAAATGTAAAATTATCATGGTTTGGAAGAACAGCAGTAACAAAAAAGAAAATTCTGCCAAAGATTAATTTTTTGTTTTGGATGATTCCAATCAAATTTCTTGATCAAGAAATAAAGGAAATACAGAAGTTATTGCAGGTTTATTGTAATGGAGGGAAGAGAGCAAGAATAAGTAAAGTACTATGCTATGAATCACAAAAAAGGAGGGTTGGGTATTCCAGATGTTAGAAACTATTGGGATGCAATTCAATTAGTTCCAAGTATTATAGCCCAAAGTAAAGAACTAATATGGAGTGATATTGAATTAAAAGAATTAAGGGAAGGAGGTGATAATCTAGAGACATGTAGTGGTATCTCGGCTCACGAACTTAATCCGTTCCAGGACTCTGGTCGTGGCCCAAATTGGTTGTGAGGCAAGTCAAATTTCCCCATAAGGTTCAATGCAAATCAGGTTACCCCGTTCTGTAACTATTTTTCTTAATCAATGGGAAGTTGGGCACGATCGTGGGCGTGCTTGTGGGGAGATGGGTGCGATCGTGATCAGCACCCAATGCGGAGCTTATGATCCGAGGAATTTTTTAAATGAAATTTCTGCTTGTGACCCGATTTGGTCATGAACTGAAGAGTCCGTGAGCCGAGGTACCACTGTACTGCTTTAAAAAGGAGATAAAAAGATAGAAACATAGAAACAGAGCGAGTCAGAAGAGGGGGTTCTCCCGGACCATCTAGTCTGACCCCCGGCTCCAGCTGGCTCCACTCACGACATGCCCACCATGTGGACGTCCAGCCTGTCCTTGAACACCCGCACGATGGGGCCTGAACCCGCTCCCGGGGAAGCCCATTGCACACCCTCAGGGTCCCGACTGTCAGGAAGTGCTTCCTGGCATCTAAACTGAACCTGGGTTCCCTGAGCTTTGCTCCAACGAGAACAGGTCTCTACCCACCTCCGTGTGACACCGCCTCACACACCTGCATGTCGCCAACATTTCCCCTCTGAGTCTCCCCTTCTCCAGGCTGAAGAGACCCAGTTCCCTCAGTCTCTCCTCATACGGCTTCCCCTGCAAACCGGCCACCAACCTTGTGGCCCTTCACTGCACCGATTCCAACCTGGCTATGTCCTTCCTGTAATGAGGGGCCCAGAACTGAGCACAATACTCCAG